CCAGGTAATTGTCTCCCCACCTTACCAAGAGACTGACAAGACCTCCTCAGCTGCCGGGGTGGCAAGGAGCCCAGTGCTGGAAGGAAGCAAGGAGCTTGAGTTCCGGCCCCGCCACTGGCCTGGGTAACTTTGCACAAGTTACTTCACATTTTGAAACCTTGGTTGCATTCTGGGTTGGTCAATCCTCAGAGGATGGTTGTGAAGACCAGACGGACCATGTTTGTACATCGGAACAGTGCCCGCACAGGGCAGCGTCCTCACGGCTCCGGAGGCGACGGGCCGAGTTATCTTGCTTTCACGCACGTTCCCAGGAAGCCTCCACCTTAGAAATTCTCCCTGACAGTTGGCTGTGTCCCGGCCCCCCGGCCAGGCGCTGGGTGTCCCTGCTGCCTGGGGCACTGCAAACAGTCCAAAGAGGGCCCTTCCAGAAGTCAGAGGTCACGTTGTTCTCCTGAACACATTTCCTTATACCCCAAAGGCTCTTTTCTCAAAAGCCTCAAGACCAACACCACCAGGTCAAGATATCTGCTGGATCGCCCATGCTACCATGGGGATGGGTGCTCCCTGGTGAGACCAGAAGCCCAGTCCCATGAGGCTACCTGGGACTGGGTCAAAGTCAAGAGAGCAGTGGCCTGGACCCCTGCTCATACTGTTGGGATCGTGTCCCCAAGAAGGGGCAGAGGAGAGGGGGCGGAAGGACAGGCTGCAACAACGTAAGGATGTGGCTGGAATCTCATCAGCCTCCGAACATTCCCCAGGACTCTGTTTCCCACGTTCCCAAATCCGATTTTTCACGAGGAGGTTCCCTTCTCTCTTCCTCTCCATCCTGCCCTTCCTTTCTGCCCAAATCCCTCTCCTTTGGAAACAAAGAGTTCTGCTTCTTGTCAGGAATGCTCTGGGAGCCAGGAACTCTTATCTCCCTCAGCAACATTCTGGCCAGTGCTTGGAATGTGACTTACGCGTTCCTGAGCAAACACAGGACAAACACGCCAGGGCTTCCCAGTGAGCCCCAGGGGGTGGGGCACTGCGCTCCTGGCACCCCTGCTTGGGAGCAGGGGCGATGTCATTGCGGTCCCCTGGGGCTGCCCGGGCTGGGCCATGTGGTGGCATCGGGAGAGTTTGGAGGGGGAGACATTCGGCTCCCCTGGGACTCGTGGCTAGGATTGCAGGCCTCAGGGCTGACTCACCCAACAGGGCTGGGTGCAAGCCAGGGAGCCACGGAAAGACTTTCTGGGTCACACACGCTGCCATGGGCCCTGCCAGCTCAGCCTGCTGGGGGCCAGCCAGGGCTCGCTGGGCAGGGGACCGGGGCCCAGGGGGTCAAGACCTTTTGACCATTATTGAGGCTTTTTCTCTTCTGGGACAAAAACGCATTCCTCTCCGGAGGATGAATTACAAAGCAAACTGTTGCTGCCTCTCTTCAAAGGCCAGGAGGTTAGGAAAGGGCTCCTTCCCCGTGCGGAAAGCTTCAAAGGACAGCCAGGCTGTCTGCTCCAGGCGGCTCCAGTGTCAGTCGCTACCCCCCTACCCTACCTGGAGCTTCTAGAGGCGGGACCCAGCCTCCTCTCCTTTCTCCATTATTTGCTGCGACATAATAAGAAATACTATATAGTCTGGCCAGTGTAGCTCAGTGGCTGAGCACCAACCCATGAACCAGGAGGTCACGGTTCGATTCCCGGTCGGGGCATATGCCTGGGTTGTGGGATCGATCCCCAGTGTGGGGTGTGCAAGAAGCAGCTCATCTATGATCTCTCTCATCATTAATGTTTCTATCTCTTTCTCTCCCTTCATCTCTGAAATCAATACAAATACTTTTTTGCTAATATGCATGCATACAAGTCCTTTGGTTGCTCTCTAGCCCCCTCCCCCCCCCCTGCCATTGTCTCTGGATCTATTTTTGTTGCATGCATATTAGCATAACCAACGGACACAGACACTGGGCCGGTGGGGGCTTGCCCAGGGTGGGAATGGCTGGGGGAGGAGGGGGTCAATCAGGGAAAAGGAGACATATGTAAAACTTTAGACAGTAAATTTAAAAAAAAAAATAAAAAAATATTTTTTTAAAAAGAAATATATAGATAGATATAGATTATATAGATATGGATATAGAGATGGAAATGGAGATGGAGATGGAGATGGAGATGGAGATGGAGATGGAGATAGAGATTATATATATTGATCTCTGCCCCCTCCTTCCTGATGCAGAACTCTTCAAACCCTTGGGATTTCCTGGACAATAGAAGTGTCTTTTGTTGTCCTGAGGTGACTCTTGGTGGGCTTCTGGGTGGCCCCTGGATGGGAGCCAATCACCAGAAAGACCAAGCCATGATTGCAAACCTAGCACTTTCACCCACCAGGGCGGAGACGGGGATGGAGATTGAGGTAACAATCCCCCGTGCCGACTGAGGAAACCTCGTGCGAATCCCTAAACTACAGGTGTGGAGAGCTTCGGCCTGGGGAACACACGAGTGCAGGGAGGTGATGCCTCAGCCCCACGGGGACAGGGCTCCTGCACTCAGAACCCCGGGTCCTTGCCCCACAGACCTCTTCCCGTGGCTGCTCACCCGTGCCCTTTATCACAGCCTTTATCATAAACCGGGAAACATAAGCGAGTGTTTCCCTGGGTTCTGTGAGCCATCCCAGCCACTCACCAGCCCTGAGGGGGGAGGAGTGCAGGGAGGTGATGCCCCAGGCCCATGGGGACAGGGCTCCTGCACTCAGAACCCCCGGGTCCTCGCCCCACAGACCTCTTTCCGTGGCTGCTCACCCGTGCCCTTTATCACAGCCTTTATCATAAACCAGGAAACATAAGCGAGTGTTTCCCTGGGTTCTGTGAGCCATCCCAGCCACTCACCAGCCCTGAGGGGGGACTGTGGAAGCCCTCACTCTGTAGCTAAGTGCATCCGAAGCCTGGGCGTCCTGGGGACCATGACTTGAGACTGGTGTCTGCAGTGGGGCGCCTGGTGGGACTGTGCCCTTGAACCCGTGGCGTCTGATGCTGACTCCAGCTAGTTAGTGGCAGAAATAAATTCTAGGACACCCGCTGGCATCAGAGAGCTGGGACATGGGTTGGTGCCAGGGGTGGGGGGGGGGGCGCACACATTTCGTGTTATAAGTAGGGAAAGTCTTCCTTTACCCCTATCCCTGCCCATGGGGACATTTCCATTATTGGCAATGGCTGTCATGGGAAACAGAAGGGGTGACAAAAATAACAAGCCCGGGAACATGGCAGCATTTTGCGTAAATTTATGAAGGTCTTACAATTGCTGACTTGTAGCTTAGACACCAGCGTGAGCCCCTGCAGAGCCTTCCTCGCTTCCCCCAGCCCATGTGGTCACCTGGGCTCCTCGGGCTCAGGCCTCCCTCTCCAGAACCTTTATCAAGGGCTGAAGCGTGTCCAGGCCCCACTCTGGACCCTTCCCTGACCCCTCTCCGTGCACAATGGGCTCCGAGAAGCCATTCTCCCTGAGGCCCTGCAGGAAAGGCCCGGGGAGGGGCCCTTTCCTCTCTGACCCACAGCGGACACCCAACAATCGTCTCCCAAAGATTCAGCCATAACTGTGCCTAGAAATCCAGACTGTTGAGGCCAAAACACCCTGAAGGAACATTAAATAGTAACCCTACCCTCTCACCTCACAGACAGGAAGCGGGATTCCCTGAAAGGACCTCAGATCTGACACCAACACAAGTCTCTGGACTCGCAGTTGGATGTTATTCAAAATGCATCCCACCCCTCCCCTTTGGTTGCTAACACTGTCCAACCAAAACAGAACTGGGAAGCGAGAAACATTCTCCCAACAGAATGAAACTTGGGGTTTCCTCCTAAGGCAGGTACCCAGAACCCCTGCACGGTAGACCCTCTGGCCCCTCCTGTGCCTCGCCCCTCACTCGAGGGGTCCAGGTGGCCCCAGCGGCCTTCCTGCTCCTGCTGGTCCCAGGCCCCAGCGTGCTGCTCCTCTGCTGGATGGTGGACGGCTCCTGCCCCTTCAGCAGGGCTGTGTCCCGCCCTCGGCCAGGCTTTCCCGGGTCACACCCCCCACACACACCCCACACACCCAGACCTCAGTTCTTCTGTGCATCGATTCCTTTCTCTTTGACACCCACCACACCCACCACTGTGCTGCCTCGTTTGCTCAGCCTCCTCAGCCAGCTGCATGGGACGGGACTGCGCCTGCCCAGTCACCGCTACACCACAGCCCCCAGCTCCGTGGCTGGCAGGCACATGGTGGGTGCTCAGTGGATTTGGGCAGCGTGTTCGTAGACGAGATGAAGTCACCGAGGCAGGACACAGGTTTAAATACTTACAACTTTATTAGGAGAAGGCTGTTGTCCCCGCAGCAGCCAGCCCCCCGTATACACAGTATACACAGCCCGGCGGTACCCGGTCTCCCATCCCCTGCAGAACACGGAATGCAAAGGAACCAGACACAGAGGGGGCTCCATGATGACGGTGCCTTCCAGGCCGGAAACACGCGCGTCTCTGCACCTGTGCCCACCCCACCCTGCAGCAGGGCCAGGCCATGCGCTCCAACTCCTCCAATCAGTGCACACGGTGGGCAGAGGGGGCAGAGGGCTCCTGAGCCCAGGTCCTTCCTGGGCCACACCCCGCAACAGAAGTTGCTGGAGCCCCCAGAATGCTCCTCTCCTCCCACTGGACATGAGACACCACCTTAGCTTTTTATCCCATCCCTAGATGCCCGTGCCTTGAGGCTCATCTGTGCTCGGCCTTGGAGAGCACGGTTGGATTCGTGAAATGGTCAAAATCAAGACCAACCTCCCAAGTTGTCTTGGTCATACTTCTTTTGCAAAGGAAAAAAAAAAAGGAAAGAGAAAAACATCACGGCAGACAAGGACAGCGAGACGCAGCCTGTGTCAGGAACAAGACTGGTTATCCCTCCTTGGCATGACTCAGAAAGCTGCTCTGTGAAGGGCCAAGTACCCCACCAACAGCAGCTCCGTTCCCCCGACACCCCTTCCCCTACCCCTCCCCCACGGCCCCACGGCCCCCTCTCCTCGCTGCCGAGGACGGGTGCACCAGGCACAGGGCGCAGTGCTGCTGTCGGTCGGCAGGTCTGTGTCCAGCCTGGCACCCTGGGCTCCTCTTAGCCCTGCAGCCTCTAGCGCTCACTCCTGCGGGACAAGGAACCCTCCTCCCTTGGTCTCCCAGGGAGACTGCAGCCCCGCCTCCAAGCTCAGCACGCCCCCTGCTCCAGGGGGCTCTGCGCCAGGGCTCAGCCAGCGTTAGACTGGGGTGAGAACGCCATCCCAGAGGCCCGCCTGGCTGCCCGGCTGGTTTTCGGATTCTGACTAAGAGGGGAAACCGAATGAAGACACCTGCCCTGATGTCACCTCGCTGAAGTCCAGGACTCTTACCTACGCTCAGAAATAGAACCTTCTGTGTGCATCCTGGTGCAGCCGAGGCCTCATAAAGACCCTACTTGGCCAAAGGACCCAACCCCAAAACATCTCCCCACTTGGAGCTGTAGGAGCGCCCTGCTTTCCACTCCCCTAACATTTCTCCAAGGTAGACAGCTCGCCAGCCGCTCCCACTGGTGGTTATCAAGGCCCCTGGGTCAGGTGATCGATTCTTGGTGTCCCCTGCGGCCAGGGCACCTGAGAGAGGGCACCTGTCTGTGTATTTGGAGCCACAGTGAGTGGCCAGGCTGTGGACAGCAGAGAGCCATGCACCCGAGCGCATTTTTGTGCCTGGACAGCTCAGTCTACAGAGGACGCGGCAACCGGGTCTTCTGGAAGCACCAGGACATCACTGCTGCCCCGGGGGAGGGCCAAGGCGGGGTTCCCCGAGAGTACAGCCTGAGGTAGCAACTAGTGAATCCCATTTTCCAACTGCAGAAACCACAGCCCGGGATGCCACGTGACATGCCCAAGCCAGACTGCATGGAGCTGTCCGGATGAGGACCAACCTGCAGGCATGTGGAGTTTCAGCACCGGCCCTCCTGGGCACACCCCACGCCCTCTTAGTAGGCCCGGGACCCTGACCACTGGGAAGGCGACGCAGAGCCGAAGGCATCAGCCTGATTGACACCTGCCTCCCTGGAGGAGGAAGCCATCAGAACCCGGGCCTCCTCCTCCCACCCTAGGGTGACATTCCCCCAGGCTCAGCCCAGCCGCAGGGACCGAAGAGCCCTCGAGATCTCTCCCCAAACCCCCTGCTTCAGCCACAGAATCCATCTCCCCTTATACGTTCCAGCATTTTTTTTTAAATGGTCGGATCCCTCGTGAAGACAACGGGCTCCCTATCGACGTCCTATCCCTTCCCGCGGAGCCTCGGAGGACACTGGTGTGACAGCCCTCTCGCTGGAGGCCTGGATGACACAGGAGAAGAGGTGTCTCTTTAAAGGGGGGCCCAGAGTAGAAGGAAGATGAGGAACCTCAGGACTCCCCCCATACATCCAGCCCTTCTCAAGAAGAGTGGCCCGGACTCACTCTCCCTCCACGCCTGCTCACCCCTAGCCCATGTGCATGGTTCAGTCTGGCGGTCAGAAAAGGAAAGTGGGCTAAAAGCACCTTGTTCAGAGATGGCTCAGAGCCCCCGGGGCCACCTGAGGGTGCCAGCTGCTGGGCCATGGCCCTTCCGGCAGCCTGTGGCCTCCCCGACGGGGGCCCAGGTCCCTGAAGTCTGCCTGGGAGTGGCCACCCTCCAGGTCTCTTGGAAACTGGGCCCCAGCACCTTCTTGCCCAGCACCCGCACCTCTCAGCCTCTCCCGAGACTGGGCCCTGGAGGAGCCAGGTGTGAGGTAGACTGTGTGTTAGTGACTTAGCTCCCCGCCCAGGCCCGGGCGTAGGAGGAAACCGCTCGCTCCCACCCATGATCCTTGTCCCTGGATGTGGTGACATCGTGGTGTGGGCCCCCTGTCCACAGCTCCCGCTGGCCAGAACACCGGCAGCACCGTAGATCCCACTCAGCACGGCCTCAGGATGCAGAAGTCCAGTTCCTGGGGCTTCCGACGCAGGTTGCACTGGTCCCGGGCCAGCAGCCGCCCTCCGCGGCCCACACACTTGAGTGGACGCCTCTTAAAGCCACGGCCACAGCTCTTGGAGCAGGGCGACCAGGCCCCGAGCTCCCAGGTCGGGCAGGGGTCCCCACAGGCTCGCGTCTCCGCCGGCCG